CTGTAAAACAATCCTTAAATGCTCATGTTCTACTTCAGTTCGAGAATACACCAGTGTGTCATCGATGAACACAACTACAAATTGGTTAAAGTAAGGTAGAAACACCCGATTCATCAGATCCATGAAAGGAGCAAGGACATTAGTTAACCTGAATGATATTACTAAAAATTAGTAATGCCCATATAGAGTACAGAAAACATTTTTTGGGACATCAGAATCCTTCACCTTGAGTTGGTAATAACCAGACCTCAAGTCTATCTTTGAACAAATAAAAACCCCTCGAAACTGGTCAAACATATTATCGATCCTAGGTAGAGGATATTTGTTTTTAACCATGAGCATGTTCACTTTCTGTAATCAATACAGTCTCAATGTCTCATCTTTATTCTTGATAAAGAGAACTAGGGTTCCCCACGGTGAAGCACTGGGTCGAATGAATCCCCTATCCAACAACTCTTGGAGTTGGACTTTCAATTCCTTAAGCTCCTTTGGGGCCATACAATAAGGAACCATCGAAACTGGGGTGGAACCAGAATATACTTCAATCTCAAACTTAACCTCTCTATCCGACAGCAATATAGACAACTCTTCAGAAAAACATCGAGAAATTCCTTAATAATCTGAATGCCTTCAATGTCAGATCGAGAACTCATAATATCTAGAATATAAGTAAAAAATGCCTCGGAACCATTCCTAATCATCCTCTTAGTTACCAAAATAGACACAACATTCGTCAGGAATCCACAACGTTCCTCAATCATCACAATCTTATGGCTATAAAGAATCTTTATAACAACTCTTTTAGTCTCACAATCGAGATTAACTAGATGCTTGCTCAACCAATCCATGCCAAGAATCAAGTTCAACTTCTCCAAAGGTAATTCAACCAGGTCAACCAGAAAGATCTCCCCATGGATCTCTATATGACACCCTCTAAAAATATAATCTAACTCTATGGAGTGACCTACGGGACTTTGAACTATCATAAAACTCTCAGTATTACCAACCGGGATATTAATACCCTAAAAAATAGAACGTGAAACATAAGAATGGGTAGAACCATTATCAAATAATGCAAAATAGTGAACTAAATGAATAACAACAGTACTTGCAATCACATCAGGTTCATCACGGTCCTATCATCTTCTAGTAGCATAAACCAACGCAGGATGTCTGGCCTCAGATCTGGCTGGACCCCTACTCTAAGAAGCTCGACCTCTACTAGCCGATCTCGATGCTCTCTCCTGACTACGACCCCCTGCTAGAGTTTGAATAGTACTCTGAGTACGAATTGGTGTTTGAACTGTATGAGCTAGCTCTAAACAATTCCTCAGGAGATGGTCACCAAAACTACATCTAAAATAGGTACCCAACTTCTTCCTGTATTCACCAAAATGACATCTCCCACAATTCTCACATGATGGAAAAGGATGCGATACAAAAGAACTACTATGAATAGAATACGTCACAGTTGACGAAAATTAATGCCATACGCCTAACACTCGTACCACCTCTCTGAAACGACTCACCCCTACCTCTCATGTTGGGGCGTGCAGAAAAGTCAACAAAACTAGAAGGCCTACTGAATCGATCTCAATCTCGGTCTTTATCTCTCCTACTCTCCATACCCAATCGCTCTATCTCCTCAGCGGTCTTGGCTATCTCAATTAAGGCATCAAATTTTCTCTCCCATTGGGTAGCAACTCGACTCCTGATCTCATACCTGAGTCTATTCTCAAACCTCAAACAACGATCTGATTCAATGTCAACAAGTCCAGTAACATAACAGCTCAACCTAATAAACTCAATCTCATAATCTATAACAAACATATCACCTTGCTCTAAATTTTGAAATTCATGACGTCGCTCCTGTAAGTATCTTTCTCCGATGTAGCGACTCTAGAAACGTTCCTTGAAAAGATCCCAAGTCAAATGATTTCCCAGAATACTATCTGAAATCTATTGCCACCATCTAAAACTATATTTCTTTAGCACGGCTAGGGCCCCTTTAACTTTTACTCGGGCCTTAGGTCCATCTCATCCATAATCCTCTCTATATCCTCCAACTAATACTCACCGTTAGTCGGAGGTCCACCAGTAATGCCATCGAATGAAACTACTCTATAAGCTACCAATGACATCAAAATCTCAACCGCATACATATTATCAGGGACTCTATCAGCTCTTTTGAACATACGAAAGACAACTCTATTAATAACATCTTCATCCATATCAGTGTCCTTGCCCTAAGTGACGGGAGGGTCTCTCGCAGGTATAACCAGATCATCTCTGGGAATAGGTGCATCTACATGTGGAACAGGAGGATCTTGCGGTGACATCAGATCGTCTATAGTAACAAAAGATCGAGTTGTTCACCCTCGACCATGGCCACAGCCTGGCCTATGACTTCTAGCAGCACTCATTGGATAAATATACAAAGCTCTACATAAAGAATTTGAACCTAAGTTAGACTAGCATCAGAAATCTCAAAATATTTAAACTCATAAAATAAGGTGACAGTTTTTTTGTAAATATAAAAGATATCTTGAAAATCTAGATTTTAGGACTCATTCATAGTCTGTGTGTTTAAAATCAATGGCTCTGATACCACCAAGTGTAACCCCCTATACTCGGCCTAGACGTTATGCCAAAATCTAGACGGTTACATATCATATTCAGAAATTCTTTTTCATATTTAAAACAAATTAAAATCCATATAACAATATAATATGAAAGTAGTCATAAAAAAGGTTCATACGATAAACACACACACACACACACACACACATATATATATCAGAAAATCGTATAAAACATATACAAAATAAAATATCGGTAATATAGATATGTCAAGATGGTAACATAAACATGTGGCACCAAAGTATGACAAAAAGGCATATAGAGATATACAGTGGTACGAAAATAGGAGTAGTCGGTCCTCCTGATGCCAAGTCTATTAGTCTATGATCTGCTACTATCTGAAAAGGTTAAAATTTACAGAATGAACTAAAAAATCCAGTGTGCTCCTTACGGTGTATACAAATATACAGATAAATTACTTCAGTAAAAAATAGTTTATCAAACATGTTTAAAAAATGACCACTACTCGCATCTGATCACCAAAATCTGTAGGTTCCCCATAATCATACACCCATATATACACACTGTAAGACCTTATACATATAGTATAATGACATACAGTAAGGACTTACCCAAGCAGAGGAGCATGCAGTAAGGATTTACCCTGAGCACAAAGCAGATGAGATTACAGTAAGATGTTACAAGTCGTAGACTAGGTCTGACATACTTCCTCTAATAATACCCCAATGAAACTAATAAACATGTATGTATTCGAGTAAAAACGGTAGTTTAATCCATTAAAATATAAAAATATTTCAAACTAAAAAATTAGATACATAAATCAGAGATCATATAAGAAATGTACAGTAAATCAATTATCAGATAAACAATATTTAGAAAATCAGGTATCGTGTAGTAAAAATATTCAGTATTATCAGAAATATAAAACAACTCATATGAATAGTTTAAAATAGTAATATAACACCATTAGGAAATACACCTGTACCAGTCTTAGTAGTCTGATAAGAAAGCTACTACTGAGTATGGCGATCACGATCAGTGACAGTGCTAGATCCTACGAATCAGAAAATCCATATCGGAATCCTAATATGAATAATAATAATAATAACCCCTATTTAAACAATTTACAGATACCTACGAGTAACTCTCGAGGAACGCATATAGTGCGAATCTGACGGACGAAAAGCACCGGATCTAACCGACCCTCGATCGGGTGAAGCACGAGTACCTACATAAAAATATGTTCTCGAATCAATTCCATAATCAAATCCCAAATAAAAAGAAAAAAATGCTAAAAATACTAAGTATTTTCGGATTTACGGGCTTGATTCAAGGTTTTCGGGTCAGAATTTGGAAAACAAATAACGAAATCGGACTTAGGACGTCGAAAAACGTCAAGATGGAGCTTTTCAAAAAGTCAATGCCGGTCAACGGTGATCATTGATTGGTTCGGGTCGGGTCGGGTCGGGTCGGACAAGCGGGTCGGATCGACCTATTATCAAGTAGCCCACTAGGCGGTGGAATTTCCCCACTCGCAGTTGCGGTGCGTGAGGGCGGCTGCGGAGGCTTCGGAAGTCGAAAAAATTACGAAAAAATTGTTACTTGCATTTTGAGGGGTTTTGAGAGACTTACCAAGCTCGATTTACAGCGGTGAACGACGGAAAACACGATTTCGAAACATCGAAAATTTGACCTTTCTCACCCCACACGTCAACGGCAACAGAAACAAGATGAACACCGGTGGACTCAAGATAATGTAAAGAACAAAAAGATGCGGGAGATATCGAAAACGGAACAACGATCGACGACGAAACGACAATTGAAGTTCTTGCCAAAAAAGAAAGCATGAAGAGAGAGAATGATATTGTCAAATGAGAAAACTTTTTGGATTTGGGGTTATATATTTCCTAAAAAATAGTAAAATTACACTATAAGTCTTTCATTTTTTTTAATATTTTTTAAGTTTAGATCCGAAATTAATTAAAATTTCACTATAACCCTTAAATTTAATTAAAATTTCAATTTAATTCTTGAAAAAAATTAAGAAAAATTTTAAGCACTAAGTTAAGGTGCGACAGTTTTTCCACGGTATCTATCTAGTGGAACCTGAATATACCCGACACAGAGCCATCCCGTCAACTTGCTGTCGAGTTGGAGTACTGTGTTTGTCCAAAGGTAAAATTATGGTATCAAAGAATAGTGGAACATTAATGATTATATTAAAGTAATAATATTTTTGTTGACGAAACTATTCAAAGCTTTGACAATGAGAGACCAAAAGACCTAATCAAAAAGACTACGACCTCCTTGATAGGATATATATATATATATATACACTTTCCGCTAGTGCTATGAGATTGGCAGATGAACATGAACGCATTGCAGAATGGAAATAAATATTTGCAAACACCTTTTTTTACTACATATGAGAAAGTACAAATTTCAGCTTTGCCATTTTATTTGAACAAACACTATATACATCCTTACAAAGGAACTTATTACAGCAGCAAATACAGATAAAAACGTGAAACTATTACTCGAGAGCTGGTTTATGGCTTATTTCGAATTACCTGTCTACGATCTTCGCTGCTACTAGTTGTTTTCCGTTACCTCGTTGGACCTAGCAACTTCGTTCAGGTTTTACTTGGTGATTGTTTAATTAGTCAACAGCAATTTCCTCTTGGAGTCATCAGATTCTTCGATCTTTGCAAACCTTCCATGGATCCTCGGTTGACTGTCAGCAAGAGCCTTCCTGCAAGCATACTAGGCGAAGAAAACCTTATTATTGAGCTTTCGTTATAGATGTCCTACGGACTGTCAGATATGGAATATGAATAATAACCATGAAGTCTGCACGTCTTGCCAAAAGCATAAGCAATAAGTTAAAGCAATTGACGATGTCGGCAGGGACGGAACAACTTTAGTTTTTTTACCTTGATTTTCCTTCCGAAATTCCTCTTCGTCTTCTTGTTCCTGTATCTGGAGAGCTTTTCCCTTCGATCTTCTGTAGAACAGCTGCTGATGGTTAGTGGCCTCTCGACGGGAGAATGGGTGATGCTCACATTACCATTGCCGAGTGTCTGTCATAAAAATTCAGTATCAACAAGTGTCGTCATATTACCAGCAGCTGACTCACATAATCATTTTTACGAATTATTAGAATTTAATTGCAAAGCAGGATCCACATCTTCCTGGTGTGATCTGAAAAGAGATAAACACTGTTTTGTTCATAACCTGATGGCTTTGTCCTTAGGTTAGTTTTTCAGCTTCCGGCAGAAAAGCACGGCAGAAGCTGAAAACTGAATAGCATGGACAGTAAGTAGAAAGTACCTCCTTTAATTAGACAAGGTCCAGGAAATCAAGGAAGATGCTCTTAAAATTCTCAAATCTGGCGCATCATCTATCTAAAAAAGTCTAAACACAGGATTAATTTTTAGAAAGGAAAAAATGTGCCCACAAATGCCGACAAAAAACTAATAGCTTCGACATCAGTCACCGAAGAAGCGAAATATAGAAATACAACATAAAGATAATTAAGGCTGACCTTTATATCTCCTTCACTAAATGCTCTCCTCATTGTATAAACAGAACCAAAATCCATTACAGAGAACTCCCGAAAACTAGGCTCGATTGCAGCCCCTTGCACAGATCCCATTGAACTTAAAGAGCCCGAGCTCACGCTTTTCTGGAACGATGCATCACCGAGCACTTCATTTTCTTGATTTTGGCTTTCATCTATCTTCACAATAGGAGTCCCAAAATCCAGGACCACAGCCAGTGGCGCTTCTATTGCTGCTTCTGCCATTAGATCCTTCTCACACTCATAGAGAACCTCTAGAAGCTGGTCATTTGGAAATGATTCGATACCTGCAGCCTTAAGTCCTGAAGTAATGACATCTTCACCATAAGAGAATAAGGAGATGGGTGCAGTCACTGGATCAAGGCCCACAATCGGTTCTTCGATGATGGGTTCTAGAGCTTTGAACATATCAACTTCTCCTTCAAGGTTATATTCAGTTGCGGAGGTCTGAACCATGTCGTTCTACATCATGCAATAAAAGATAAAGGCAGACTGAGAAACAAGAACAATCAACTGTAAAACATGATCTTTAGCTGAAAGCAAAAGAGGTAAAAACTATAATTCAGTATGGGAGAAACAAACTTCGCTTTCGTCACTCGAGACGTACTCTAGTCAACTCCAGATAGATAAAACAATGCTACCCAACATAAGAGTTCAGGTTAACATTTTTTCCTTTTCATCGGTAAACAGTCTTATCCTATAGAAAGTCTGCTACAAATGAATTGCTTATCATCATCATCATCATCAGACAAGTTAAACTCGAAGGTTCTACGGAAAATATCTTGAACCTAATAAACAAATTACTAATAGCAATCAAACTGATAATCAATTTCAAAACTTTCTCAACAAATATCAGTTCTTCTGGCAATGTGATGAATATTTATCAGAGATATTCACAATTCACACCAACAATTTTAAGTGTAATTTTAATTTTTCACTTTCCACACCAACTCAATATGAACTTCAAGTACTTGAAAACACTAAAAAATTTGTGGGTTTTTCTATCTTTTTCAATCTCTCTGTAAAAGTGGAAAACCCTTTCACACTTAGAAGTTGAAGAAAATGAAAGAAATCTTCAAGAACACGGAACTCAGGGTATTGAAAGATCATTTTCCAATCATATCCTACCAATTTCTTTGTTTGGTTTCCTTTTCGTGGTCCAGCATGTACAGATTATTTTCTATATTATTATTTTTTCCATTTCAGCCTTGTTTGGTTGCTGAGAAAGTGTTTTAAGAGAATAAAGTAACCGGAATCTTTCCTTTTAAGAGAACCGAAAAGGCATAAAAATGAAGGCTGAAGCTTCCAAAATACTTCTTTTTAACACGGAAAATCACTCAATATCTTGAAATTTTAACAGGAAAAACAACATTTTCACCATTGAAGCAAAGATAAAAGAGCACCGACTTCCTGAAATGGAGGCAATCAAAGCTAAAACTCACTTCAGAACTAGAACGAATCAGACAAATGGAAATCACCCAAAGGAAACCAAAGCAATGGAACCAAATCAAAAACAAAGATTGAGATAATGAATATACCATTGAGGCATTGGGTTTCTGGGTTTTGCAGTACTCTTCGAAAGGCTCAAAATCTTGAGAAAAGTTCTGCATGTAGGGAAAAAACAGCCCAGTCTCTGCATACATTTCTAACCCACGAAAATTACAACCTTTTACTTCGATTCTTCGGTGGAAAAAAACAGGACTTTCTTTCACTCACTCAACGAAGAAGAGATGTTTAATTCAGTAGAAAACAGAGTTCCGTGTTAGAGCAAAATATTAAATATCTAAATATTTCATAGCACCCTACAGATGCTTTCGAGATAAATTCGGGTTGGTCTTGGCTATTCAATGACCTGGGAAGCAAGAATTTGTATACTTATGTGTTTGGGTGAGAGAATAGAAGATTATAATTGAGAATATGATTATCGATGGAAATAATATTACTGGAAATATTATATTTTGTGTTTTATTTGTTTATTGGAAATGTAAAATTATAATATTTAATTAAATGAATAAAAGATTATTAAAATATATATTTTATCAAATTGTCTTTATTATATATTTGTTTTTTTAGTAAGATGAATTTTACTATAATATTATTATAATTAATTTATATATTTTATTTAAAAATATTAAATTCATAAAATTTATATAATTTTTTTTACAAAATAAAAAAGATAAATATATTTAATGAAAGGGTAAAATTTTATTTTAAACTCTAAACTTTTTATAAAATTCTAATTATGGTCTTTTTTTTATAAATCTAAAATAATTTAAGAATAAATTTGTAATTTAATATTCGTAAAATTTTTATTATTCAACGACAAAGAATGATATTTTTGAAAAATATTTAAGGATATTTTAGTCCAAAACATCGGTAATCCAACAATACCTAAGGGAAGAGGATAATCACATTTCCGATAATATATCCCAAAATACCACGATTAAAAATAAAAAATTACCAAAAAAATATGATTAAAAGCCAACAAAACTGGAGAATGATATTTCATTCTCTCAATAATCCAATATTGCCTATGCCAAAATCCCTTATAATCATCCTCAGACGTACTATTAAATTATTAGTACAATTTTAAGAATTTTTTTAAGGGAAAAAAGAAAAGTGATGGAACAAAAAGGTAATATATTGTGAAATGTTGTTTATTGATTAATGATTATATTACACGTTAATTGATTTTAATAGTTAAAATAAATATTTTTTATTAATATATGATAAATATAAAGTAATATATATTTAAAGATAGTTTTATTTTATTGACATTAAACTCTCGTATTCAGAATATCAAAAAATAATAATAATTGATTTATTATAAGGTCTCGTGCATAAATATAAAAAAAATATTATTTTTTAAAAATTTTAGTTCAAAAAATTATGTCTGTAGAATATTTTTACGTTGTCAATGTTATAAAATATTCTTAATATATATTACTTTATATTTATCTTTTCTTATTAAAAATGCTATCAATAATATATTAAATATAATAAATTTTGAAATATTTATTTAAATATTAAATTATTTTTATTTTTATCACTTGATTCATATATGTCTAGCGACAGCATAAAAAACTTGTTGTTTTAAGATTATTTTAGTTATGGATTTTTCCTCAAACTTTAAACTTTTTTTAATAGTCGGATCCTTATTTTTCATCATTTGATGGTATATTTACAATATAGTTGTTAATAAATATTTTTTTCTTTCCTTTTTTTCCTTAATTTGATTTTTTTTTCAAAATCCTCATGAAATTGACAAAACTCAAATTAAAGTTTTAATTTATTTTATATTGATCTATTATTTTTACTATTTAATCGGTATGAAATCAAGATATAATATTTTCCTTGTTATTGACCTTCTTACTGTTTTGATTTACGAAAAATATTCTAACACCATCAATCAAAGAGAGTTTAAAAATTCTAAATTTGAGAGGAAAATTTCAAAGTTTTTATACGTGTTTATCGTAATAATTCAAACGGATTAGACATTTAACTATTGATTGATAAAAAAAGAATATTTCAAAAATTGAATTATCAAATAAAAAATTCAATATTTAATAACCAAAACAGAAACATTAACAAAATTATTAAATTAATAATTAATTAACTCAAATAATTTACGTTTACTTTGGAAATAAAACCGTTTGTTTTATTCTCCACTTTGTTTGCTAACGAAAACTATCACTTATCTAAACATCAGTATTTACTCTAAAAAAAAGTGGTATTAAACTCTGTTATTTTATATTATAGTTATTTTTATAATATTTTCATGTAATATCTCGATTATTTTTTTTCCTCAAACGGAGATTTATAAACACCTGGAAAGTATTAATTTTGTTTGAAAGTTATATATTGCATTGGTGAACATTCTATTTTTATTTTGGAATTGATTTATATCAATATCGATCTTTGTCGGTTTGCTTCGATATAATTTTTAAATTTGATGGTATTTTAAAGTATTTTTATATTTATATTTATAAAATTAATAAAAAATACATATTTATAAAATTTAATAAAAAATATTATATATATATATATATTTGTCACAATTAAGATATTGATAAAAGAGAATACTTTATATAAATAAAATATAAATTTATTTAATGAATAATTACAAAAGTAGTAAATGTTTTGTATACGTGTCTACGAAGTGGTAAATCAATTTAGTTTGATTAGATCTATTAAAGTTTTTGAATAATTTATTTTAATTCGATTTAATTCTTGATTTTTCTATTTTAATTCAAATCTAATTTTAAGAATCTTGTTTACTTTACTCTAATTCGAGACAATATAGTTATTCTATATGAATAAAATATAAAACTAACTAAAATGTTATATAATGTAAATGTTTAACCTGTTAACAGGTAAATAAATAAAACAATAGAAATAATAACATGTAGTAAAGTGGGTTGGAGCGGTGATCCATATAATATGCATATGCAATACCCATTTTAAATTAGTTGATGAATGAATTTGATATTGATAATTATATTAGAAAGAGTAGATTAACACCACGTCTAACTTTTTATAGAAGTCGTTAATTTTATTAAAAACAGAAAATATTCAAATTACAATAAAATTTATAACCAAAACTGTAAACTAAACATAAGATATTTTCATAAACACAAGAAAACTGTTGAAAACATTTTGAAATTTTGATATAACAAATTAAGTTAAATGAATTTTAAGATTTTCCAAAATGATTTTCTAAGTATATTCGATATAATTATTCGAATATCAAAACATTACTTCAAATATTTCAAAAATCATTTTTAATCCTTACTTAAGTGTAAAATTAAGTTTTAATCTTAAAACAATTTCAAAATAATCTTTCAAAGTATTTCGAACCATTTCAAAGTCAAAAATTTCAGATTGCTCAGAGGGAACCGATCCCCCCCAAGGGGGTACCGATTCCCCCCTGAATGGTTTGGCTCCGAGATTTCCAGAATGCTCGGAGGGAACCGATTCCCCCATAGGGGTACCAATTCCCCCCTGTTCAACGGTCGAAATATTTGAATTTTACACTTAGGGAACCGATTCCCTATGAGGGGGAACCAATTCCCCCCACGCTCCAAGCATTTTTATTAAATGTTTTCACACTTAAACGGCTATATTATCTTCATTAATTATCCCCAATGTTCAGAAGTGATTCAAGGTGTATTTAAACAAGTTCTGAAGCCCTTGATCAACAAGAAATCATAGAGAAACAAGAGAGAAAGCATCAAACACCAAGTTTGTGCAAATCAAGCCAATTTTCCTTTCAATATTCATTTTGCTTTCAAGAACACCATTTGTGCTCATTTGTAATTATCTTTGAGTGTTATTTTCTTGTTCTAGAATTGTGCAAACATCTTACCTTGTGAGGTTTTCCTTGTAAGTTTGCAAATTTGTAATCTTCTCTTTGGGAAAGAGTGTTCTCAATAATTGAGGTATATTCTTGAGGGTGTTGTAAGGTTATCTCTTTGGCCTCAAAAGAAAGAACAAATTAGTGAATTTGTTGGAAAATCCTTAGTGTGGATAGCTAAGGTAGTGGACGTAGACTTTGATTGAGAAAGTCGAACCACTCTAAATCGCTGTGCAATTACTTTCAATTTTCTGTAAAAGCTTCCACCAAATTTTTAATTGCCAATTCGCCCCCCTCTTGGCCAAATCCGTCAATCGATTAACTCAACAAAAACTAACCACTTAAGGTTACACGATCTGACTGTATCGGTAAACGAATAACAAAAGGAGATGAACCTATTGAAAGGCTATCGATAAACTACAAATCAAAATCGAGCGACGTGAAAATACTATCCACGAACGCAAATCGTGTATCCAAATTTAATATGAGGGTCCAAAGTAGGGATAATCAACATGATAACAAATAAGTGCCATCTTGATTAGTCACGACAATGTCAACTCCAACTATAAAAATAGAATAAACGAAAACAACGGTTAAATGGTCGAAAACGTGCCATAAATGCATAATTATTAAAAAAAGAAAAACAACAACAACAAAGATACGTTATAATAAACAGAGGAAAAACAATGAATACCAACAGTCGATGATCAGCACCAGGGTCGGTGCCATCGCGGATCATAAGGATGAAGAAGAAAAAGACTAGCGGCGACTAAAGAAAAAAAGAGAAAATTTTCACTAACTTGTTTTTAAAATAACAATGTCTATGTAGACACTCATTTTCGCCCCAATCTTTTGTTAATATTTTTATATTATTATTATTATTATTTATCTATTTTTATTTCAGGGCCTAGTTATAACGGGGCTAATCGACCTAAACTCTAGGCCAATAGAACCTAAAATAATTAGGGTTTCCAACTTCTACTACTGCCACTGTCAACCAGTGCTTCTCGTCACTGCCCGTCATCGGTGAAGTCATTCCCGTTATCGTCACTGTGTCATTGTCATTATCTCTGCAAACAGTGAAGAAACAAATCAGTTTAAATCTACACTAAACCCATTCAAAAAATAAGTTAAATCTTGAGAAATATGGGATGCTAACTATCCGGTTTAGGAGAAATCATGCCCCTATGAAGAAGCCTCATCGAATCATCACCAAACACACAAGGAATTTAGACATATAACATAAAAAGATGAGGGAATTCGGTTGGGAGCGAGAGAAAAAGATAAAATAAAAAACAGAGGGGAAACAATTCTAAAAAAGAGAGGAAAGGAACCATTCAAAAAAAGAAAAAGAAAAGAAAGAAGAACATGAAAAAAAAAGAAAGTTTACCCCACGATTTTGTGTCTTCGTTTGCCGGAGTTGAAAATAGATTCAAAGCATCAAAAGGTAGTATTTTTTGGGATTTTCAATCTTTAAGGGAATGTAAA